AATGCCTGAGAGCAGAAATCTAAGTAGTTTTTCAGGGCGCGGATGAAATAGGAGACCAGATGGGTCAGCATCAATGATGGAAGGGCTAGAAGCAAAGGCTTTCCCGAAGAATCCATTCTGACCCCGGAGATAAGTACAGCAACTGGAAGCCCAATCTGTTTTAGACACACAGAAGGAACAAGACGCAAAAAAGACTTAAGTTCTGAGAAAAGTTTAAGAAGTCCCCTTGCAGCTAGGATGGAATTAACATTAAGAAGTTGTAAGACAGTAGGCCATATCAACAACAGTTTTCTCTTTCATCTCAGCAGGGAGGTACCCAGTGACCTAAGTCCTTGCATTCATGACTTAACACAGCTCCACTGATCAGACAGACCAGGTGTGGAGGAGATTACTTCCTAATCAAGTGCATTTTGGTGCCAGGCACAAAGGTAGAAGTGTTTCGATCTTGGCCTAACACAAAGTAACACAAAAACACAGAATGCTCTGTTTGCATTCTATTGATGGTTACTAGAACAAAGACAGCAAGCAGATGGCTCAACAGCATACTGAGGACACCTAGGTAGCTGACTATGACAAAAACAAGGAGAGAAGGGATCACCCAAGCTGATCACCCAAGCCAAAAATAATAAACTCTACTTGCACGTGATGAGTTTGAAATAGCAGATATCCAAGAGACCTTAGGTATTGTATCAGTGAGACAGGAAGAGCACTACAAACATCAATGGCAGACTTCTGCTGAGCACTGTGTGACCTTTGGTCACAGAGATGCTTCAGGCATAGGCTGCAAACTCACCATCCCCAAATCACAGTGCTCATGGGTTTGTCAAGCACCAATGTGAGTGACATACTGTAAGAAGTACAGAGAACAAAAGCAATCAGGCAAAGAGATGGACACTTCCATGGGACGGGAAATGCTGCGGGGGAAACAAACATACAGGGTCTAGAGAGGATTCCCAGCATATATTAGAAACATAACCAGAAAGCCCTCAGGGAGTCCACGGTGTCGAAACTGTGACCTAAGGGTTGGTCAGCAATCGAAACTCCATAGGTCTATATATACACATGTGTTTTCGAATGAGCACTTCCCTAAAATAAAAGCACACGATCATTCCAAAGCTGGGAAAGTGGTGAAGAAAGATGAACAACTGAAAGTCACTCAAGATTTTCTTGCTCCCAAAGTTTAAGTCCTTACAATCTACATAGCTCTGCAGTTGATGTTTAGTAGTTTCATTTTATTTGCAGTGCAAACAGAAAGCATTTAAACATTATGTATAGAGGAGTAGCAATTTAACTTATGTATGTATGCATGTACATATGTATGTATGTGTGTGTGTATATATATGTATGTATGTATGTTTGCTCCAGCTGGGTAGAATGATATAGAGGAACAAGTTTGAAAAAGAGACAGAGAAGCTGATATAGTAGCCCTAGAGGAGAAGTCAGTGATCTGGAGTAGGATGATACAGGTAGATATGGAAGAAGGCAGGCAGATTAGAGAAATAGTTCTCAGTCCAAAATCAAAGGGCTTGAAGCACACTTTTGCTCCCGTTTCACCAGGCAGGAATATCTGAAGTAAAGTAACAGCCATAAGAATCCTTTATTCTATTAAAATAATATATCACCAAGCTAATTTATCAGTAAGGTAATCAAAATAGGATGGTTGCATAGGATTTCATGTCTTAACATTTAAAAGATAATCAAAGTCAAGTGACTTAGAAAATAAACGGGAGAAAATTGTTCTGTTTTAGAAGAGAAAATTTACAGTCTGAGTTCTAACAGCACCTAAGAGAATGCAGTGGAATTGCTGTAACAGATATAATCTATTTTTCCAAATGCCAATATGTCTGCAATGAGGAATATGCATACCTTCTGAATTGTCTTATCCTACTTAACAAATCAGTAGTCTTTTTTTCTCTCACTTTTTGCAAGGCAGCTTCTTGAACAGTAAAGATTCTACAAACATTTACATTCCAAGTAGCAGAGCTGTTTGAAATGCTATAAAGTTCTGCCAGCACTTCCATTACCAAACCTTATTTCTTGTTTATAACATGTACATAAAAGGAGGAAAATAAAAATGTACTCCAATTGAAACTTGGCATACTAAGCTTCAGCAGGGAGCGCATTTCTACAGAAAGAAATTTTCCAAGATATGTTCCCACTGAGTATAAAAACACAGGAGCTTGGGGTGGGGCATGGAGGGGGTCATGGTAAACCAGAAGCCACTTAGTGCCATTGCTCCTTCTAGATCTGAAACAAAAAGTCATCAGCTCTCAGTTTCAAAGAAATTCTTAAACTGTCCATATTCTTGTTACTTTTCGAAACTGATGCTATCCAAGGCATGACTATGAAGCATAAGAAACCATCCACCAAGGCTAGCAATTTTACTACACACATGCATCATGTTTATACACACACTATATATTAAAGTATCTTACATCTGTTCATTTTCAATGAAAAAAATAAATGGCGAAAATAAAACAGTTTACATATAGACGTCTGGTCAACACACAGCAACAGAGTCCACTGCCAACTCCCTAATTCCTACTGCACACAAGTAACCCTTTGCTGCTATGAACACTTGATGGTGATTGAGAAATAAGAAAATGTGGAAGCAGTAAGAGCATCTCTGTTCTGTGGTCCTGCCACAATACAGTGATATACAGATCTGGCAGTCTGAATGGGCCAATTATAGCTATATACTGTTTCCGTGTAAAACATATTAGAAGTTAATGAGAACTTCAAGTTGGACACTTAAATTATGTAGTAAAAACAAAACCAGAAGATGTGCATTGAATGAGTGAGAGGGAATTTGGCACTTATAAATGGGAGAGATGCATATTTTGCTAGCAGATTGAAGAGGCTATTCGTTTATAATAACTAGGCGTACATGAAATATGACAGAGAAAAAAATTGAAGATAAATCAGCAACTGAAAGGCTACAGCTTACTGTCTGCAGCTAATCTTTGCTCTACTTGTAATTGCTTTGCACTTTGGTTCTATCAAACATTTTGTTGCTATTTTAAGAAATACTTGGGCTGTCCGCTTGAGTTCTGAAGGGTATTTAAAAGTTAGAATTCTTCTGGAGAAATGGACCAAATGCCTTCACAGCTTTAGGCAAACAGTTGTGACACCAGGACAGACAGGAGGATATGGAGCTGAATGCCATTGTCAGAGATGGCCACTGCCTGATTCTATTAGCCTGCAAATCAATTACCTCCTCAGTGTCCCTACTATCCACCTTTACACAGGGAGAAACACGGGTTTGCATGACACTTCACCAGTAGCTGACAAAAGTGCTCAGCAATTTGCTGGAGTAGCGACCTCCTTCAAACCACGTGTTGTGGACTCTCAACAGAGGTCAAGCAAGCCTTCAGAGACCCTGACCCCACAGAGTCCGTGCCTGCAGAGATCTCTGCATTTCCCACGGGTTCAGTCCCAACGAACATCTTTTATGAACATTTGCAAGAACCTGTCCTATGGTGACATGCAAATATTCGGCGCTCTGCAAATGTTACACTAAGTTATGTGGTTCTTAACCTGCAAGCTTCTTCCTTCTAGTTACAAGGAATCGCAACACAAAGGGTTAAATCGTCCACCAGGATGCAGCCAAAGTCGGGTTAGTGCTGGTAAACACAGCCAGTGCTGCAAGACTTAAGTAACAAGTCTGACTTGCTATTGAGATATAATAGCTCCTTGAAAGGCAAATATTCCCCCTGTCAGTCCAGATCTGAGGCGCTGTGACTAAGTGTTTTTCATTAATTCTCGTTTTTAATCTATTTACAGATCAGACTTTTTTTTTTCTCAGCTAGTGTGATATTCATCTCTGTGGGAGTAGACAGAAATCCATAGCACAAATCCTCCTGTATTGTGCGTGTGTGTTTAGTTATTCCTGCTTATTCATTTTGAAATTCTTTTTGGATTGACCTACTTGCCATATGAAGCTGGGGTATCTGGCCACCCTGCGGCACCACACACGTCGCAGGCCGGTTCTTTCTGTAGCTATGCTGCCGTACATACTGAGTTGGGGTTAGGAAACTGTCAACCTGTCTCCTTTCCGAGGGCTCTCTGCAACCAACCCCTTCTGAATGCGGGCTTGCTTGTCCTCACCAGAGCCAGCACCCTTGTTTTTTTTTTTTTTTTTTTTTTTTTTTGTTTGTTTGTTTTTTGTCATTCCTCTGAGTGCACCTTCTGGTAAATCCATAAGGGATCGCAAGGACCCAGAGATCGGTGAGCCCTTGCTGAGCGGAGCTCTGCACAAGCAGAGCCCAAGCCTTGCGTTTCACGCCATCAGAAGTAGGGAACCATCCATCTATGAGGTGCTGAGCCTGTCTGACCCAAGTTCCTGGTTAGCACTTCCTGGTTTTCCGCTTCTGGTATTCTAGCAAAAGCTTGGCGGGATTTCTGAGAATACACCATCAGGAGATCCCGCCAGCTCTTTAAGTCACGACCCCAGAACTCTACCTACAGTCCGTAAGAACAAATCTACCAGGGATTCCACTCAAAGCTGCCCGATTTCGAAGTGAAAGGAAACCGCAGCCTGCAAAATTGAGGGGCTAACATACATCCTACACCCTGTCTTGCACAGGTCTGGGAGTCAGGACCACAGCTCCAGGGAGAAAACGCATCTCATTCTTAACTCGGATTCTCTCTCAGCACCCCCAGGGTTCCCAACTTTTTTTTTTTTTTTCCAACTTTCAGTGTCCAAACTGGCTGCTTTTAAAGACAAGACAGCAGGTTGCTTTTTTTTTTTTTTTTCCAGCAACTCAGCCGGAGAAGGCGCCCCATCCCAAAATCAATCCCAGTCCCCGAGCAGGGAAATCATGTCCCCTGGCAAACAGACTGGGAGAAGCATCTTTTTACTCTCCACCCAGCAGGTGCGTCTCCCATGCAAACAAACTTTCGTGGCCAGGGAGCCCTAAAGCCAGTGGGTAAAGTTTCCCAGGCGGGTGGTTCACAGCCGTGCCAAGGCTGCAGTGAGCAAGTGGACAACCCCGACTTACCTAGATGCACCAGCTTGCAAGGCGCCCGCCCCGCCGGCCTGCCCGCCGGCGCCGCCGCCGCCGCCGCTGGCTGGCCCGGGGGGCTGCCGTGCGCTCCGGTGCGAGCCGCCGCCTTCGCCGCAGCGCCCCCGTCCGCGCTCTTCTGCAAGACTCCGCGCAGTTCCAAGTCCGACCCGCGGCGCCCACCCTCCCGCCGCCGCCGCCGCCGCCACCGCCGGCGCCACCGCGCGCCAGGCTGCTGTGGCTGCTGCAGGCGCCGAAGGAGCGCTGCGTGCGCCTCCGCCGCTCGGGCTGGGACTCCTGCTCCCGCGCTAGCACTGGAGGGACGGAGGGAGGGGACACAGGCTGGGAGAAAGGGGCGGAGAGCCAGGCGGCGCAGCCAACGGGGTCCCGCGCCTCACGCTGCTCGCACCACCACCCACCTCCCCGAGCCTCTGCGCCCCGCCGCCGCCGCCGCCGCCGCCGCCGCTGCCATTCGCTGCTCGAGCCCGGGCCGTCTGGGTCTGCTTGTGTCCGGCCTCGGTAGGGTCCCCGCGGAGAGAGATGGGCGGCGGTCAGGGTGTCACCGCTGGGTGGCCTCCTGCCTCGCAGCCGGCGTCTGGGTAGCACCGATTTTTAAGGGCAGGGATTTCAGTTCTCAGGAACCCTCTTGCAGCTGAGCTCACACAAGTGCGCAAAATTGCCAGTTTTATCGTCAAAACCCGTAACCATGAAGGTTTCGCTGTAGACACGTTACAGATGGATGGACTGACGGGGGGGGGGGGGGGGGGGGGGGGGGGG